TATATCCTGTTGTAACAAGTAAGAAAAAATTTTCTTCCATAATCTGAGTCTGCAATTAAAGCATTTTCAAGCTATCTAGACTCTAACTCTGCATAGCTGTGATAAAAAGCTGGTAAAAGCCATATTTCTATGTTGTCCTAATGTCTTAGTCGGTTGTTATATATCGGTTGTTGCACTCTCAGGGCTGGCTAGTTTTAACACCCACCATAACATTTTCTTTCACAATCTTAGTCTAAAATTGTACAAGCATTTGCACTGTCCAGATTTTAGCATAATGATATGGCGTAGTTGTGATCTGAGAAACTGGTAATTACAGCCTTATATTTCTTTGTTATCCAAATGTCTTTAGTGATTTGCTATGCCTGTCGTTACACATACTCGGTGTTGCAGCCTGGGTCAGCAATACATGTACAAGCAACGTTGCAGAGACTAGACTCTAACTAAACCTAGTGGGGATCCAGTGGCGACGCGTCTATTTAATCAAATGAGCACTGCTTGACTTCCTAATTTTGGAACATTGTCGTAGTCAAATTCAGCCACAGACGTAGGCCCCATAAATTAAATGTAGACGTTCATAATCACTAATGAATTGTGTTGTGCATAACATTCAAAACTGTTTCATTGCCTCACAAATACCCTGTTCACCCTTTTGGGCCACTACCATAAGCAGTCACAAGCATTGATTATGTAAGCTAACCTAGTTGAGATCTGAAAATTGGAAAGAACTCAATTTCTTTGTCATCCCAATGTTTTTAGTAAGTACATTGTAGTTATGTCGGTCATCGCATTCTAATGTTCAAGATACGCTTTGCGTGTGTCCAAATGTAACAATTTAATTAAACTGTCGATGCATGTGTTTCTGCGAGGTACAGCCGTTATAAATTATACATGAAGTTGCAACAACCAGCTATTTTTAATGTTGTTTTACAACCTGAGTGTGCAATTTTACAAGCAGTTTTGTACTGACAAGACTCTAGCCTAATTGTGATCTGAGAAGCTGGACACAGTTTTATTTCTGATTCATCTAAATTTCTGTAGTAGTCGTTGTGTTGGTTGTTACACTCTCACTGTTAGGCGTGATAAAATATATTTAATCTATTTTTGTGCATGTCTAGTTATAACTACCAACGAATCAATGTTGTTGTACAACTTGGGTCAGCAATTTTTCTAGCAACGATGTACTGATTAGACACTTGCCAAGCCTAGTTGTGATCTGAGAAACTGGAAATAACATCAATTCTTTGCCTTTACCATTCAAATTTTCATAAGTAAATTATTATTCTGGTTGTTACTCTCATAGTTTTGGACAGACGGTTGGTTCGTAACGTAACCTTACTCGACTGGACTTCCGAATACCCTACTGTTCTATTTTCTACTTTTTGTCAGGCTGATTTTAAGGAAGACTCCTAGGGTTATTGTTGTTGGGGGTTTTTTACCTTAAGTTGTTGGCAGGTTTGCAATTAACTGTAGTTTTCAAGAAATACTAATCTGATTTACAGTTCTCGTTATTTCATTATTTAAAAATAATATTCGGAAGGTAACTTCTGTCCCCC